CACTGGATATTGGCTCCTTTTCAGAGCTTTCCCATCCTTCTTTTCCGTCTGGCTGCATATATTCTGGAGAGAGGTTATGGCTTTGTTGCGGCATGTCAGCAGCTTCATTATTTTGAGAATATAATCCAGCTGGACTGGTGACGTCAAGCTCAAATGAGTCTTCAATTGTCTGATCGTTATCATTTATTCTGGACCACTCTTCTCGAGGAATAGATTGATGCTGTGCTGATTTTAAGGGAGAGGACTTTTGCCGTCTTTGCTGCTCGAACCTATGAATTTGTTGTTGTTGATGTTGTAAACGCACTCGACTCGCCTCCAACTCTGCCGAGTAGTCGCGTAGTATCACACAACCTCGAGGCACAGATTCTTTGAAGTAGTTTAGAATCAAGGTGACAGCATCTTGAGAACAATTGTACCGTAGCACGTTGAAAAGGCAGTCAAGCTTCATGCGAAGCACTCTAATTAAAGTATAAAGAAATCAAGAGCAAAATTCATAGCACAATATCTTATTAGTTAAAACTTATTTCAAAGCTGACCAAATAAAATATTCATCATCATATATCCTAAAATTGATTAGGCAAAATAGGAAATCCTACTTTAAAATATTAGTTGAAACTAGGGTATTCGATAGATGCTCAATAATCCTAATAGAATGACTGCCACAATGTGATTATAAGCTTCGCAAGCAAAGATTCAGGGTTTTGCATAACAAATTTTAGTGTAAAATGAAAGAAAAAATAAAAAGCAAATAATCCATATAATTAAAAAATTAAATATGATTATCAAAATACAATTATGATTTAATGATTTTATGCATAACTTTATTTGGGGTCATTTAAAATTAAGCAATTAAAAAGAGCAGACTTGCAGGATGCGAAGTATTATGTAAAGAGTTACTTTGACTTACGAATAAGCAACAAAATGAATGCTGGAGATGGCTATTGAAAATGTTGCGTTGGAAAATGCATTTCCTTAGATCTTTTAGAGATTTTGGTGTAGATATTTGCTTTCACAAACAACACGTTATATAAAGTATATGTAAAAAATTAAATGATTAAACAAAGTGAATGAATTTTTGCTTAAGGGCCTTGATATATTTTTAAATACTGGATAAGGCATCAGTTTCCTATCATCTTCCTTTCCTTTAACAAAATGTTCCTTTTATTTATTGTATTGAGCAAATTTGTTTAACTTCAGTCTAAAAACTAATTTGGGTAGTTGTGGCTTATACAATAGACAGCTATTGGCCTTTCCTGTTCTGCTCAAATTTAATGATGATGAATAGCAGTCCTATATACGAATAAAAAGATTTTCTATTCCGCTGCTTTTTAAATGAGACGTGAAAAAACACCTTACTGCTTCCTCTGTCATTTTAGTGATTTATTCTAATTTTGGCCTGTAGCTTGTCGGCATCTTCATAGATCGGCATACTTCCTAGTACAGAGCCCAAATTCACTAAATCCTCAAGTTAAGTCAATTGCTTTGACATATTTTACGGTTGTGGTATATCCTAACCTTTTCCTGACACTATTCATATCTGATAACATTTTATTAGCATCCTTTACTCCTTTCAACTCCTGTTTAAGAAAAATAGACTGTGTTAGATGCCAAAGAGCTTAGGATAGCAACTCCAACAAAATTATTGTGAGATATGGCAATGTAAGTCCTGAAAATACGACTTATTTATAATGAGCTTAGACAAATATACCGAATGTCAATAAAATTAAACAATAAAATCACAAATTATTGGTCTTATAGAAGAATATTTTAATCACATATAAGAGCGAAATATATAACTGTATTTCAATGCGTGCATAATTGTGATTAATTTTACTAATTTTGCTCACAATTACAATCTTGACTTCATACGAAGTTTATATTGGCTTTACTTTTTAGAAAAATATTATCTTTTTCTTCCATATTCACTGATGATATACTATTGAAGTGCTCTATCTTCCATTCAAAACCTAATTTCACATTTATCAACCTTCTTTACGTCTTCCGATTAACAAAACAACTTTCTATTTCATGCTCTCCATCTTAACGTGTTGAAAAAGCTTTTCAGCCTATCTCATAGTGAAAGCATTTATTATCTAGAAAATACAAGCAGAAGCATATTAAACAGATCCCATGTTTATTCCCATGTTCTATTCTTGAAACAAGCATATAGGTTATAGCACATTAACCTATCCAATTCACTAAGACACAGAAAGCTTTGTTGCCCATTTAAATAAATTAATTAGTGAGAATTTTGCTTGCATATATATTAGTAGATAGAATTTTTAGCCTGCAAGTAATACAGTAAACTCGCAGTATTATAACTCATTAAAATAACTTTAATTCACATTATCTCGGCTCTTAGATATAAATACCAAGTAGTTATTTGTTTCTTTGGAATCACCTTTCACTTTGGAGGGTTAGTCGGCTTGGCAACTGTCTTTTTTCTCAGAAAATATTCAAAGAACATATCGCACACAGCATCCTCTACCCATAGAGCAAAGTGTTCTTTCATGATTTGATTGTTTATCAGATAATTTTTTAGACGTCGACAGCGTTCTCTGACTTCTCTTTTTCAGCACGTTTAAGTTACTGGACAGAGGTTAAGCAAAACTTTCTTTCTTACACGTTGCAATCAATAAATTTGGGAAAAGATTATTTAATTTGGGTATCACCAGATATAAATGACGATTATTAATGAAATCTCTGATGGACTATGGAGGCCAAGATGATGAAGCTTTGGTTTTATTACTACCTAGTTCGCTGTATTGTTGTCAATATTATTTACATTATGTATCTTAATCGTATTTAGAAGGAGAAATTGAGAGATAACTAGTAGTGTGATCTCTGCTATTATCGCTACATTGATTTAAGCATATTACCATTAAATAGGTGCATTTTAGTTGTCATCTATAATTAACAAATATAGTAAATCCTCTTGACCAGTGCTCCTCTATTGGTTGTGGCATCGTCCATCTCCTCTATCAGGCAAATAAAGCTTTAGAAATACTTAGTAGAGGTTATAAAATAAAATTGCGAATTGACCGGGACATTAAAGACATACAGAACCTAGGACCCCTAAGGGATGTGAAGGCATTTGATGTGAATGAGCTAGGATTATAATAATAGAATGGTTATTCATTAGGTAAAAAGAATTAAAAAACCGCAAGCATGTAGATCATGCTCTTGAGGCCATCCTCTGGGAACAAGTTAAAACCTGAAATCACATGCTCGTGGTTGGATACGATAAAACATCGCAAGTATGTTGTATAAAGTGGTTAAGACTGAGGGAAGTATTTGCCCATATCTTTTAGGGCATGAATTTTTAAGGGCAGAGCAACAGGGTGATTGGGCTAATTGAGTTGATTAAAGTGTAAATATTAATTAGGATCAGAAAGCACGGCAGAGTAGAGGAAATCTCGCTTTTGTCTGTGATTACACCTTATTAAGCACCATCGGTTGGAAGCGCACCGAGAGTTTATAGTAAATGAATAGGAGACCTAAAAATATGAAGTGGGAGCGAGTGTTTACAGTAAAATGATATGAGACGGGAACTAGGCCAGATAGGAAAGAGAAATGCCACAAAGGTTTACTTTTTAGTATCCATAATTGTAACTCAGTGCCTTGAATGGCGCTGCACAATAGCAACGTTGACGAAACGTCTGGGAATGTATCCTATCAATATTCAATAGCTGAAAAACTCTGGTCAATAATTATCAGTCTAATTCACAATATGCTGGAGTGATCAAAATTAGGTCAAAATAGATAAATAATTTACAAGGTTTATATTATTTATCTACTAGATATTCATTTAAGGACATGAAATACATTAATTAAAATACCTTCGAATTTTAATCATATAACTATTCAATCTTGTCATCATTTTTTAACAGATAAAATCATTAAAAAAAATGATATATTTTAAACTATTTAAAACTAGTAATTTTAATTGGTGAGATCATGGGACTAGAAGAATCTAGGGTGCTTCTTTATCAATTTTTTATCATTAAAATTTTAAATAGAATCTATATTCACTTTTAATTTTATTTATTTTATTATGGTGAAAAAAATTTAAATTAGAAGTATTGGAATTTTAGAGCCTTCTCAATTATATATTTTTAGGTTTGGTGACGACCATAGACTATTGATATTTCTCCAAAACAAACAGAAATATTCTACAGAAACTAGACTAGTTTATATATGATAGAAATATGTATTGACGCATTTACTAGCTTTTAAACATTTTTCCAGAAATATCAAACATAGAACATGTGGAAATATGTCGATCTGTTAAGATAATAATTTTGATGTTAAATCCTGATATATTTTGTGTGTGATTAATTACATAAGGATATTAATGATCTAAATTCTTCTTTCTCCATAAAT